AAATTTTACAAAAGCGTGTTCAACACCACCAACAAATTTAAACCAAAAACACAAAAAATAATTTTAAATGCACACAATTTTTTTTAAACACCAACCGACAACAGTTAGTTGCATTAAACCGCCACTACTAATCCGATCTATTATTATTAATATTATTATTACTATTATAACCGGTTTTTGATATTTACGCAATTTTTTCGCACGCACTTCGAAATCCTCTCCCGTCCGACTCGCAACTCGTAACCACGCAGAAGTTCGGGTCGCACTGAATCCGCTAAATTCGGAAGTGGAAGAAGAGCGGCCGAAGGCGACGCCGACATCGAGACGGACACCTGTAATATCAGCGGAGGTAGAGGGTGCGCGAACGCGGTTAGCTGGGACATAGTAGAGGAGATGATGTAGTTCAAAACGGTGCGAACAGATAGAGTTGGTTTAGTTTGGTTTGTGAATAGGGAACATAGACCTAGACCAGAGGTGGGAAACCTTTTTGCCATCAGAGGCCGCACTTAAATTAGGCAGCAATAAGAGTAGCCGCATAAGCTGACTGACCTAAGAAGGTGACTTTAGTGAAATTATTCTATAGTCTTTTTCTGTAGATTTAAATATTTATTGCATGATATAGAACAAAGAAAATATAATACTACAAAATTTTAAACAAAATATACATATAAAATAATATTAAACTAGTTTGTATTGGTATTTTGCCTTGAGGCAAGTTGCACGAACTTCCCAAAATGTGTAATAATTAGCTTAATCAACCGAAATTGTGATTTAGATATTTAGATAAAATTTTCAACTATTTATTAACTTCCCGTAGGGTAAGTTATAGTAATCGTCCAAAAATCGAAATCAAAAATTTTTACATTTCTCGACGTTTTGAAGGTTTCTGAACATTTTGGCATACCTCAGAAAAAATGGATATGTGTGTGTGTGTGTGTGTGTGTGTGTGTGTGTGTGTTTTGTATGTCTGCGTTTTTTCGTCCACGTTTTCGGGCGCACGGATCAACCGATTTGAATGGTTTAAAAAACATTCGATTCCTATTGATAGGAAGATGTGCTGATTAGTTTTTGGCAAAGGTAGGTCCAGCCGTTACGGAGATATGGAGCAAAGAGTGCAAAAAATAGAAAGCGAATTTTTGAGAGAACGGATCAACCGATTTGAATGGTTTAAAAAACATTCGATTCCTATTGATAGGGAGATGTGCTGATTAGTTTTTGGCAAAGGTAGGCCCAGAGGTTTCGGAGTTACAGAGCTAAATTTAATAAAAATGGCTGTTTTTGAGAGAACTAAGCGTCCGATTTAAATGATTCAAAGAACTTTCTGCTTTTTTTCAACAAAACAATTGATTTTGGAAAAAAAAATTTTTTGTTTCTAATTTTTTTTCAAAATTTTTTTTTTGTAATTTTGGACTAAAAATTCAAAAAATCACCCAAGCTAAGCACAGTCTAAGCGCCACTCTGGTAGAAATGTTTACGCAAGTGCGTTTAGACTGTTTGTGTACTGGAGCACTTTTCCAATTTTGTGAAAATTATTGAAAAATGTGAAAATGCCGCCAAACTGAGCACAGTATAAGTGAAAATGTCGCACAGAATTATTTGCAAATGCGTTTAGACTGTGACTATGCGGGAGCACTTTTTCAATTTTGTGTAAATTTGGCAACTATTTTTTTTTTTGGAATTTGATTCGAAATGAAATGACGATTGTTAATGTTCTGGAGATCATAAACTGATTTATTTATAATTAACTTTCCATAGGGTAAGTAATCGCAAAAAAATCGAAAATGAAAATTTTTATATATCTTCACGTTTCAGAGGTTTCTGAATATGTTGGCATACCTTGGAGAAAATTGATGTATGTGTGTGTGTGCGTGCATGTGTGTGTGTTCGGATACAAATTTTCGTCGACGATTTCGGGAACACGGATAAAGCAATTTGAATAATTCAAAAAACATTCTAGCCGTTCCGAAGATATGGGGCAAAAAGGGTCAAAAACGGTAACTTAGTTTTTAAGAGAACGGAGCGTTCGATTTGTATAGTTCAAAAAACATTTTACTTGTATTAACAAGATGAAGATTTGATCAAATTTTCATGAAGATAGGACTAGCGGTTTCGGAGATCTAGTAAAAAAAACTAAAAAAAAATAACATTTGGCGGTCAACAATAATCATTAGACATTAGACATATGCATATCAAATTATCAGATATTTTATTGAGATTTTTACAATAAGTATAAGTTTTGTTTACATTCCTATGGGTTCCGTACCATTGTTTTTCTGTTAGACAGCGACGCGGCGCTTACGCGCTTTATATTTTGTCTCTATGCAGTTAAAGCAGTACGATTGCTTTGAAAAAAAGTTCAGATCTTCCAAAATATATCAAAATAAAGATAACATTTTTTCCAAAAAAAAATTTTTATAAAAAAAATTGTTTAAAATTTTTTTTTTTTAAAAAAATTTTATTTTCAAAAAAAGTAATTTTTTGTCCAATTTAAAATTTCTAAAAAATCTTATTTTTTCGAAGTAAAATTTTTTCAAAAATGTTAATCGTTTTTAAAAAAATAATAATTTTTGGTACGGGAAGTTCCAGCAATTTGCCTCAAGGCACGATGCCTTAATTGCCTTAAGACAGAATTCCACTTACAGCTAGTTTCGAAAATAAAGTTATTGTTAAATTTTCTCAAACACATTTATAATATCTGTAATTATATTACAGTCGGTCAAGTAAGAGCGTGGTCGGGTTAATTTATAAAAATAATTATTTTATAAAACTTTAATATTTATATATGCATTGTATACGTTGAAAGCAAGGATGCAATTTTGGTCAATATGTGTCCAGTCACCACCGGAGTCGACAATTGCCTGGCATCTCCGACGCCTGCTTTTTACTAATTCAACGGATTATTTTAGTCCGACGGCTCGTATTTTAATTTAACGGCTCGATGAGGGCAGTACGTGCTCATATAGAACTTTCATAAGTGAAAATGACATTTTCAAAATCTCTAACAATATTTTCATGTGCTCAAGCAGAAAAGAAGCACATGTTTTTCAGTCGTCAGAGGCTTCCCCGTTGTGTTGCCCCATTTCAGATCATGAATACGAAGAAAGGTTCAGATAGTTTTGTAGATATTTTTGTAGATATTTCTAAACATTTTGCCATTAATTTTGCTTGTCCTTGCTGCAGTGTTAAAGCAGGATTCCACAAATACCCATTCTCTGTTCTTTTTTCTTTTTTTTTTATTTGAACCACGTTCTGATAAATCATCGACATTTTTAGCAACTTTATATAGGTGTATCGAATTCTGTACAAATGCCTTCAACTTTCTCATATATTTAGCAGCAGCTGATTGCTACATTTGGGTACCTTTTAGGTGCAGCCTCGTAGCGCGACGCGTAACTTAGCACTCATGGCGTTTAACGTAATTTTTTCTCAAAAGATCAACTGCAACTAAACCTTTTTTGACAATGCATCAAGGACAAAGATTCACTTTATTTACTCACGAAAGAATTAGACCGAAATCTTTCATTAACTGTCGTTAAAGTCGACCACGCTCTTACTTGACCGACTGTAATTAGAGTGCGTGGGCACGTGCTTGTATGTCCTAAAATTGCAGCTTATTATTTCGAATTTTAATCAATTTATATAATTCAACTAATTTCCGTAGGACTGTTTAGTGACAAAAATTTCACATCACATTTTTAAACTTCCATGAATTTTTAAAATTAAACGACTTGTCTTAGGACCGCAATAATGTAGTATGTTTTTAGGACCACGATATTTATCAATATAAAAGATATATCAAAAAAAAATTCAACTGTTAATTACTAAGAAATAGCTCGGCCGAACTATCTTTGTCCGAACCTAGTCAGCATGATTCCCAATTAACATCTTTCAAATTTTTAAAATCGATTCAAAAATTTTGGCAAAAACATGGTCGCTCTTTTTTTTACTTTTCTGCTAATTACAAAGAAACGGCTCGGCCGATCGTCGCACAAAACTGAGAAACGATAATCCTTATTATTGAGTTTGTGATAAACGTCAATAATAACTCAGGTCGTTTTTTTTTTTCAAAATTTGATATTTTTTTGATCACAATTAAACGACTTGCACTTGCCGTAGAACCACAATATTTTAGTATTTTATACTAGATCATAATATCTATCGTTAAAAAGAGTTTCAAGGAAAATCGTCGAACTATATCCTTTCAAAGTATAACAAGTTGCTTTAGGTTATTTAAATTAATATCTCTATAATTGCTATTTTTGAGTATACTGCGTTAGTATAAGGCTTTATTTTATTACAAAATATTGCTGAATATTTAATCTCGAATAAATTTGTCATATATATTATATATTTGATATGGATTTTTTAAAAGTAACAAAAATAAACAAATAAGTGCATTAGTTTTAAAAATGCTTTCTTAATCATAATAATTGATTTTAACCATTTGTTAATTTTTTATTTCATTTTTGCGCATTAAATACTTTCATCATTTTGAGTCTGCAAAAAAATGAAGATATTAAGTAAATTTCTTTTGAAAATTTATTTGCCAATAAAATTGATGTAGACAAAACTATAGAGTGATATGTTTTTTGAACATTACATAGAATTAATTTGAATGTTAGAATGCTAGAAAGTAATATGAAATCACTTTTACAATATCATAGTATTAAAGCACATGATTAATAAAATATTGTTTCACATAAAAGTATATTTGAATAATTCTATTTATATATTAACAAATAATAGTTTTCAAATAATTGAATGCCAAAATAAAAATAATATATTCATTATATATATTTCAGATAGTCATGTTATATTGTTTAAAAATTTTAGTACAAACATCTTCAACAGCTAGTAACACAAAATTCAGTCTTCAAAATATTTTAAAACCAATTATTATAAAAAATAAAATTGTTTTATTTGATCTTGTGTAGGCCTTAAGGCAAGTTGCATATACCGACATGTGTAAATAATCTATTTAATCTATATAATTTGGGACTTTCAAAATTGCGACAATAAAATGTTATAACAATTTTAACTATAACCAATACAATTTACAAATTTATATTTCAAACGAAATTATAATATCTGTAATTTTGTTATTTAAATTTATCACATACATAGAGGTTTAAAAATAAAGTAAAACCAACGAATCACGATACGCACTTTTCGTAGGCCTCTAATGCTTTAGAATGTTCATTTAGACCGTGAACTCCATCACTGTATAATAAATTCGTAAAAGAGAAATATTACCAATTAGTTACAACAAAAAAACGGCTCAACCGATCTTTACCAAAAAGTAATCCACATAATTCTCAACCAACACCTTTTTGAACTTTTAAAATTGATTAAGGTTTTTTAGCGTAAACTTTGATACAATTTTAGTTATTCTGTTAATTGTAAAGAAACGGCTTGACCGATCATCGCGCATAACGGAATTCCTATTGTGTCTTATTAAAAAGTGTTGAAATTTTTGAAATCTTTTCAGCCGTTTAAAAAAAAGGCAAAATGTCAAAATTGTCTCAAATATATATACATTCATACACACATACATACTTATCCCAATTTTGGTATTCATGAAAAGTCGAGAAAACAATTGGATTTGCTGACAAAATATAAAGTAAATAGTTACTAGCGTCACAATTCACATTAAATTAACTGACTATGTAAATGACTGTTTTTTTTTCATATTTCAAATATAATCTGGTCTTTCTTTCTACTTTACATTTATCCAAGCAAAACCTTTCTCATCAGATCAGGACTTGGTCTAGGTTCTTCTCTTTCATACAAAACACCGTTATTGTTATTGTAAGAACTCGAGCTACCCGCAGGGGAATCTTTGGAATCAGTGATACATTTTGCTGAGCACAAATATTGAAGTAAAGGAACACGATACTTGCCACAGAAGTCGACAAATTTTACATGTTCTACACGGTTATCAAAAAACACACCTGAGGGGATAAAAAACTAATATTAAATTTGGTCAAATTGTAAAATACTGCAAAAATTTACCTTCGCATTTAGGATTAACACAACAATGACCACTGTCCAAATACTCCAGAAGAGTTCTTGGTAAATCTTTTGGACCACAGACCATCTTGTTGATTTTTACAACTCGTGCTGATAGCTCTCGCAAAGAGGCTGGAGCTAATGTCATATCATGCACGAATCGAACAACCAATGGATTTTCTCTGAGACTCAACTAAATATAAATTATAAATATTTATTAATATATATATATATATATATATATATAAAGTTATTCTTGATAATATTTTATTAATTACCTCAGAGAGACATTTAAGCGTAATAATTTCAGTAGGTAAAGTCCTGAGTTGGTTTTTATGTAAAGAAAGAGTTTTCAAATGTTTGAGATTTGCAATGCTTGATGGTAAATTGTGTATAATATTATCACTCAGAATTAATGCTCTCAAATGTTTCAACAGACCAACAGATTCAGGAACTTCCGTCAAGCGATTACTTCCCATTGACAAAATGTTCAAACTGAAAAAAAATATATATATTTATATATATATATATATATATATATATAAATATATGATTTTTTTTTTCAGATAGTGATAAATATGTTGATAAATCTATAAATTTTTTAAATAGGCATCCGTCCATCCATATAATAAATATAAAGAAACCAAAATTTTGTTTCTTAAAGTGAATATAATGGTCTATACCATAGGTGGGGAACCTGCGGCCTCGAGGCCGCATGCGGCCTCCGAGAGGTTCTTGTGCGGCCCCTTGCCGTCTAGTACAAAATAGCAGAATTACTTTCAAACAACTATTGTACAAAAATCCCACCAAGAACAGTCATATTGTAACATGACATCAGATTACTAGCCTGAAACACAGACTCTTAGGCAGATACAAAATAGAAATGTAATATATTATATTAATATTATCTAATATAAGCAATATTTTCGATTTCGCAAGACATCGCCTATTATATGATTCAAGAAGTATTATAAAAAAATTAACAGCGCAAAAGAATCGTTAGCACCCCGTTAAGGTTGAAAATTTTTATGCGTATCCGTAGTAAAATGTTAAAAATTTATACTTCTCGCAACCAAAAGCAAATCCGCAGCTTTGGCGGAGATCGGAGCAACCAGATTTTATCTAGATATTTTGGAAAGAGTTAACTTTGCGTTTCATGCATTAATCCTTTTTTTTGTTATGATATCTATTGTCATGAATGACAACAAGCAGGAATATTCATACCGAAAGTTCACAAATGAATTTAATCTGGTTTTTCCAGAGCCCGAAATTCTCTAAATTAACCTTTAACACCTTAGTTTGCAAAATAAAAATTTATCTGTGAATTCAATGGTATAAGAAAAATATATAATTTTTTATTTCAAATAATTATGTAACAATAAGAATATGGAAATCAAATTCAAATCAAAAAACTTTAATATCATTTTTATATAAAAAATGAATGTTTAAATGAAATTAAAACGAACTAAAATTCGATTTTATCGAAATGAAGTCGATTATATCTCATTACATACGTTCGAAACATACCAACTTTTTTTTCCAATCATCAAGAAAAATAAATGAAATTCAGTTCGATTTCCTTCGAAGGCTCAGTTGCCAAGCAAAATACAAAGCCAAACTAGCTGGTATTGGTATTTTGCCTTGAGACAAGTTACATGAATTTCCCCATTTGTGTAAATAATTGACTTAATCCATGATAGATAAATTAATTTATGAGTAGTTAAAAGTATTCGAAGTGGATTTATTGAAAATCGAACACGTCAACCCGGTCGGAGTATTTTTTAAAAGCAAATTTTCAAAAATCAATAATTTTTATAATTGAGCGAGTTTTTTGTAGGACTTTAATTGTTTATCATGTTTATTAAGACCAAGTACTCTATCGTTATACCAAGTAAATCGTCTCATTTTAATTTTAACAAATGTCAAAAGAACTACTCATTTTCTCAAACTGTGCTAAATTTTTAAAACTAAACTACTTGTCGTAAGGCATTGATATTACAGTAAGTTCAATAAGATCATGATATATAACGTCAAAAAAGTTCCGTGAAAATTGGCTTATTTTTTTTTTCAACTGTTAATTACGAGAAAACGGTTCGGTAAATTTTCACCTAAAACTAATCAGTATCATTCCTAACTAATATCTTTCAAAGAGTTTTTGATTTTTTAAAATTGATTCGGTAGTATCAGCACAAATGTGCACCAAAAGTTTAACACTTTTTTCCAAATTACAAAGAAACGGCTCGGTCGATCGTCGCACAAAACTGAGAAACGATAATCCTCATCGAGATACATCAAATGGTTTTTAAATTTCTGAAATCGGGTCAGACGTTATTGAGCAAACCTCGATGGAAGTTCTAATTTTGACAAATGCCAAAAAGACCATACTAATTTTTGCAAACATTGACGAATTTTTAAAGCTAAACGAGTTGTCGTGGGGCCAATAATATTTTAGTATAATCTAGAAGACTATGGTATCTACCGTCAAAAAAAAAATAAAAATCGTCCATCCGTTTTGGAGAAGACGTCGATTTACGGCAAAAAATCTGTTCACACTCAAATACACACACACACACATACACATACTTTTTCCAAATTTGGTCTCATTCGATTCAGAATGGCTTGAAACGTCGAGAAAACATAAAATTAACGAGTCAGATTTTTTTATGAAAACATTAACTTCTCCTTCGGAAAGTAATAATTTCACAAAAGTCACTTTTTTAGGTCAATCAGCTTATGCGGCCTCTTTCATTGCTGCCTAATTTAAGTGCGGCCTCTAATGGCAAAAAGGTTCCCCACCTCTGGTCTATACGTTTCGAGTACCAATTGCGTTGCGTTCTTTGAGATGTTCTAATTCATTATTTTTCGTTTTAATTAATTTTATGAATATAATTCATATTTATATATTATTTTTTCATTAACATGGTTTAGCTCTAAGTAACATTTTGTCAAATTGGGACTCGAAATGTATGGACTATTGAATTCACTTTAAGAAACATAATTTAGTTTTCTTTATATTTGTTATCTGGGTATGGAAAAAGTAACATATTTATCACTATCTGGAAAAATTATCATATATATGTATATACGCAGTTAAACGTCGTTTTAAATTGTAAAGTATTTCTAGAAAATTTTTAGAGTAGCAAAAATAAATTACTAAATTAGTTATATTTAAATTTATTATGGTAAACAAAATAGGAGTTTGTGGTAAATAGTGAAAATTTAGCACATAATGCAATTTTTAATTACACATTTCGAATAACAAAATAAAAAAAATGATCAGAAAAATGTTTTTTTTTTTTTTTTAATTTTTTTTACTATCTTCTCATTTCATCTTCTAACCACATAATTCTTCTTCTTCTATACTTCTCATTTCTTCTTCTAAATTCTTCTTACTTCAATTCACAATCTTGATTTTACATACATATCTTTTTATTACAATTCATAATTCTATTATGATTCCAACCTAACTAGTTAATATTTTTTCAAATTTTTGCCGGAGATTCGAACTCGGAACCTCCAGCATGAGAATCGAGAACGCTATTCTTGAGCTAATCCCGCAGGTTGTCATCCCTTTTTTCCAGTTAAATTTAAGATTTTTATTAATTCCATAAAAATCTGAATTAAAATTCAATGCAAATCATTCGTTAACTGAATGGGGGATAAAATATTATTCATTATAAAGATTTAAAAAAATCAAAAAGTTAAAATAAAGAAGATTTGCCCAAAAATTTAAAAGTTAAGTATATGCAACCCTTGATTAAAATTATTTATTTAACATTTCCATGAGGGTTGTAAAACAGTAAAATACTTTGATGGTTTCATAATTTAAAAAAAATAATAGAAATATAAAAACCTTTTTGCAAGTACTTTGTAGCATTAAAAACTTTTTTTTACAAACATTTGAGTTTATTGATTTTCGGGTTTTTATTATTTTATTAGAATTTTATTCATTATGAAAAATGAGTTTGATGCCAGGTTAATAATCTAGTTAATTATCTGACAACCCAGATAAGATATAATTAAGTACCATAATTTGTAGGCCATAAATATTTACAAAAACCCATCAATATTCCAAAATAATTTAATATCTCACAAAATCTCTTAGATAAAATTAATCATGTGTCAATGATTGATAAAAAACAGACGAGGTTTTCCTTATATAACTAAACAAAAACATATTCACTTACTTGTCGAGTCTCCAAATATCTTTGGAAATGCTGGGAATTTCATTTGCTCCCAAATACAAATATTTCAGTTCTTTTAATTCTAATAATTGCTCTGGAAAACTGGACAAACGATTCCCACTCAAATTAATTTCTTTTATCATAGAGTTCCTTGTAAATGTTTTTGGTAGGCCTCCATTTGTTATAAGGTTATTCTTTACAATCAACTTGTCCAGGGGACAATGTTGAAGTAAATCTGCAATAGGAATAATACATTATATATATATATATATATATATATATATATATATATATATATGAATGTATATAAATATTACAATTATTACCTGGTAAGCTAGTGAGACAATTATTGCTCAGATCTAATACTTTTAGATTTGTATACTTTGTCAATGCAATTGGAACCACAGGTAGATTGTTGTGATTTAATTTGATAATTTTTATCAAACCCAAAGACTTCTCGGACTGATGAATTAGGTTTTCTTCCACTAAGGTATTATTTATTATATAATATGATAAATCTATTGTATGCTCTTCGATATGATCACTATCACTACTATCTGATGTGTAGTTCTCCATTTTATTGCTTTGTATAAGTATCACAGAAACCTGAAATGGATAAAATAAAAATTAACTAGTTGGTATTGGTATTTTGCCTCGGGGCAAGTTACATGAACTTCCCGATATGTGTAAATAATCGACTTAATCAATAAAAAATAAATTAATTTTGTGTGATTAAAAGTATTCTGAGTGAATTTATTACACATAATTGAACGAGCACGTTAACTCGGAGTATTTTTTAAAAGCAAATTTTCACTAATCAATAATTTTTATAATTGAACCAGTTTCCGTAGGACTTTAATGGTTTAGTATGTTCATTAAGACCAAGTACTCTATCGTTATACCAAGTAAATAGTTATACCAAATTACAAAGAAACGGCTCGGCAGATCGTCGCACGACACTGACAAACGATAATCCTCAACGAGATACATCAAATGGCTTTCAAATTTTTGAAATCGGTCCAGCCGTTTTTGAGAAAACGTAGATTTAATGAAAAAAATCTGTTCACATACACACATACTTTTTCTAAATTTAGTCTCATTCGATTCAGAATGGCTTGAAACGTCGAGAAAACATAAAATTATCGAATCGGATTTTTTTATGAAAACATAAACTTCTCCTTCGGGAAGTTAAAAAAGACTATTTTTAAAGTGAATTAAAAGCAATTTCTGCAAATTCATATCAAAAGCGATAATATAAATATCTAATCACGAGTTTAAACACTTAAAAACACATTTATTAAACAAAGCACTAAATATTGTCTGTGAAAATTTATCTAAAATCTGTATTGTTCGGTGTAAGTAATAAAAATTTCATATCAATACTGGATATCTTCACAGAGATATATTCATAAATTAATTCTTTCTTGGTACTTTTGTCTGGTTTAATTAAATATTTAAAATTAATACGTAGCTTCAATTTGCTTTAAAAAGAAAGGTATTGCCAAATAGTTCTAATAGTAATTTGCATCATACAAATGTACAGACTTTAGTACATATTTTTATATTTGTATTTATATAGAATTAATATATAATACTATCCTAATTTTGAAGTAAAACTTCTTTAGGCACGACTAGGAAGTAAATCTATACAACTCGATGAGATCATTTCTATACGGGTCGATTGTGATTGGTCGTCGTGTTGCTTGAGTATGATTGCTTTGATTGTATAGTGAAAATAATTAAACAATTGAAAAATCTGCACCGTGTAAAAAACGTGAGTTTATTGAAATAATTTGTATTATTCGTGGTTACTATATATTTTTAGAAATTATTTTTATAAGCAACAGACACATACCACAGCTGCTCAAAGAATGAGACAGTATCGCCAGTGAAATAGTCAAAAAAAACAGTCAATGAATGTATGTTAATTTTGACAAGTGAAACAACTGTTCTCGTTCAAATGCCAAAGCTTACAATTTCATTTTACTGATCCTGAACGTAAAGTAGCACAAAGTTGCACATTTTTATAAATAATTAAAAATAAGAAGAATAAATTGATATTCAGATTTATTACACTAAACAAGAAATCAAGCACAATAATAGTCTGTGCAGCTGTCGATCATTTATATACAGATATACTTCATAATGGACACCTATGCAGTTTATTTATTATTAATTAATAGTGTTAGTGAAATTCAGTGTTAATGAGCCTTAGTGTTAATGAAATTCTTTAAGATTGTTATAAGTTCACTATGTGAACGGATATTAAAGAATTTATTAATCAGCAATTCATTCATTTCACTAAGGTTCAAGTTTTAAATGCTAATTACAATGACTAACCGATTATGTAGTATTTGAAGTAGGTGTAACTTTAATTACATTATTGTTTTTAAATATTATAAATATTTTCATTGCTATTATAAATATATAATTTATAATTTATTATTATATAAATATGTGTAAAGGAAAACTTAAAAAAATGTTGCATCACGAGTGTTACCATATTACTAATGAATATTATTCAAAATTGTTATATGATGTATTTATTTTTACTTATGCCATCTTGTACAGTAGCAAAGAAGTTTTACTTCAATCGCGTGCGAATTTTACGCGCACTCTTTTTTTTTAATATAGTATGAGATATATTAATATATTACAATACAGTATTTACTGATATACAATTTAATATAATTTTTACTAAATTACAATATTTAAATATGTACTTCTATAGTAATCTGAAACTTTTAAAATTTTAGAATATTATACAAATTGTGGTTTACATCGTAATAAATCCATTTTTATAAAAATTGAGAAAGTATATATTAATAAGAGGTGCCGAATAAATCCATCTGATCATATATTTCTTACGATCAGAATAACGCATTTAAAATATATATAAATACTTTAAAACTGAATTGTTAATTTAATTTCATATTTGAAGTATCAAACTATGTATATTTTTGAAAATTTTGAAATATTTAACTATTATTTTTTAACTAAGCAAGAACTATTTAACAAGTCCTTTCATCACACGCTTTGGATTTTTTATTGATATTATAGTAACACGAGTAACTCCATAAATAGTTGGAAATCGAGAGCAATTATTATACACTCATTGGTTATAATAGAAAATTAAAAATTAAAAGTATTGAAAAATCGAATTTTAAAAGCTATATATATAACTTGTCGATTAATTTCAGTAACATATGAAGAACACTAAGTGCTGGAAGACCATTTAGAGAGCAAAAAAAATTATGAATATAATTACAATAAACTTTATATATATATATATATATATATATATATATATATATATATTCCAACTTTTATAACTGTATCAGATTATCTATATCACAAGATTTCATTTATCACATGTTAAAATTTTTTCATTAATATTAGTACTCGATTAATATAATAATGTACTATACTAAATGTAACTACAATAAGCTTTGTGAATTCTATTGAATTTCAGAAACTATAAAATGAGAACTACTTAACACTTCCTTTGTCATACGTTTAAGATTTATTATCAATTAGAAGACGAATAACTCTGAATGATTAGAAATCATTTAGGGAGTAGATATAAAACATTCAGTGGCTATAGCTAAAATAATTCATTATCAAAGTACTAAAAATCTATTTTTTTGTGAGAAAAGGATATAAAGATGTATTGAACCGTATTTAATTAAAATAAAATGTATTAACTGTGATGAATTTCATATATCATATCTTATATCACTCGCTTGAGATTTTCTATTGATATTTGCAACACGAGCAACTATAAAAGGTTAGAAATCATTTAAGGAGCAGATATAAATCATTGAGTGGTTAGTAACAGAAAAATACAAAGAAAAAGTACTAAAGTATAAAATTTTAAAAGCTATATAAAAAGAATTGTTTAACTTTCCTTTGAGGTGTTTTATTGATATTAGTAACAATAAGCAAAAAGCTATTGATGGAAATGATTGGATATCATTCAGAGAGCAGATGTTTAATAGTATTGGTAGAAAAATATAAAATACAAGTACTAAAGAATAAATATTTATAAGCTTAATAACAATAGCTCTTATTTAAGATTAACAATTCATATTAATACCACGATTTAGACTAAGCGGTTGGTTCTGATCATTAAGTAAACAATTATTGAGATAAATCATTCAACAAGCAGATGTTTAGTGGTTATAGCAAAAAAATACAAAATAGAAGTACTAAAGAATTGAAATTTATGAGCTTGATAACACAAGCTCTCATTTAAAATTAAAAATTGATATTAATACCACTATTTAGACCAAGTTGTTGGATATAATCATTAGGCAAGCAATGATTGGATTTAATCATTCAGCAAGCAGATATTTTAGTGGTTATTGTAGAAAAATAGAAAATAGAAGTACTAAAGAATCGATATTTATATACTAGATAACAATAGCTCTTGTTAAAGATTAAAAATTCATATTAGTACCACGATTTAAACCAAGTGGTTGGATCTGAACATTAAGCAAGCGATTATTGGATTAAATCATTCAACGAGCAGATGTTTTAGTGGTTATTATAGAAAAATACAAAATACAAGTACCAAAGAATTAAAATTTATAAACTACATAACACAAGCTCTTATTTAATACCAAAAATTGATATTCGTACCACAATTAAAACTATGTGGTTGGTTCTAAATATTAAGCAGAAGATTATTGGATTAAATCAGACAGCGAGCAGATGCTTTAGTGGTTATTGTAGAAAAATACAAAATAGAAGTACTAAAGAATCAAGAATTATAAACTTGATAACAGGAGCTTTTATTTAAAACCAAAAAATAATATTCGTATAACGATTTAGACCAAGTGGTTGGTTCTAATCATTAGGCAAGCGATTATTGAATTTAATCATTCAGCAAGTAGATGATTTAGTGGTTATTGTTGAAAAATACAAAATAGAAAGACTAAAGAATCAATAATTATAAGCTTGATAACAACAGCTTTTAGTTAAAACCAAAAATTTATATTCGTATCACGATTTAAACCAAGTGGTTGATTCTAAAAATTAAGCAAGCGAATATCGGATTTAACCATTCAGCAAGCTGATGTTTAGTGATTACTGCAGAGAAATATAAAACACAAGTACTAAAAATTCAGGAATTATAAAATAGATAACAACAGCTCTTATTTAAAACCAAAAATTGATAGTCGTACCACGATTACAACTAATTGATTGAATCTAATCATTAAGAAAGCGATTATTGGATTTATCAATTCAGCAAACAGATGTTTTTGTGGTTATGGTAGAAAAATACAAAATACAAGTACTAAAGAATCAAAATTTATAAGCTAGGTAACAAGAGCTCTTATTTAAGATTAAAAATTGATATTCATACCCTGATTTAAACAAAATTGTTGGTTCTCTAATCATTAAACAAGCGATTATTGGATTCAATCATTCAGTGAGCAGATGTTTTAGTGGCTATTACAGAAAACTACAAAATAGTAGTACTAAAGAATCAAGAATTATAAGCTAGATAACAATAACTTTTATTTAAAACCAAAAATTGATATTCATAAAACAATTACAACAAAGTGGTTGATTTTAATCAGTAATGAAAGCGATTATTGGATTTATCAATTCAGCAAGCAGATGTTTAGTGATTAAGATAGAAAAATACAAAATACAAAAACTAAAGAATCAAGAATTATAAGCTATATAACAATAGCTTTTATTTAAATTGATATTGATCCAAAAATTGATATTCGTACCACGATTAAAACTATGTGGTTGGATCTAATCATTAAGCAAGCGATTATTGCATTAAATCATTCAGCAAGCAGATGTTTTAGAAGTTTAACAATTGTAGAAAAATACAAAATAGAAGTACTAAAGAATCTAAATTTACAATATTGAGCTTTAAAACCAAGAGTTGATATTCGCACCACGATTGTGGTTGGATCTGATCATTAACCAAGCCGTTATAGGATTTAATCATACAGTAAGCAGATGTTTTAGTGGTTATTGTAGAAAAATATAAAATACAAGTACTAAAGAACCAAAATTTACAAACTAGATAACAACAGCTCTTATTTAACATTAAAAATTGATATAAGTACCACAATTACAACTAAGTGGTTAGTTCTAATAATTAGGCGAGCGATTATTGAATTTAAACATTGAGCAAGTAGATGGTTTAGTGGTTATGGTTGAAAAATACAAAATAGAAGTACTAAAGAATCAAAATGTATAAGTTAAATAACAATAGCTTTTATTTCTAAACAAAAATTGATATTCACATCACAATTTAGACCAAGTGGTTGGATTTAAACATTAGGCAAGCGATTATTGGATTAAATCATTCAGCAAACAGATGTTTTAGTGGTTATTGTAGAAAAATACAAAATAGAAGTATTGAAAAATCGGTATTTATAAGCTTGATAACACGAGCTCTTATTTGGGATTAAAAATTTATATTCATACCCCGATTAGAACTTAAGTGGTTGCATTTAAGCATTAAGCAAGCGATTATTGGATTAAATTATTCAGCAAGCAGATGTTTAGTGGTTATTGTAGAAAAATACAAAATAGAAGTACTGCAAAATAGAAGCACTAAAAAATAGAAGTACTGAAAAATCAAAGTTTATATAAGCTAGATAACAATAGCTTGTATTTAAGCTAATATATTACAATTAGTAACACCAAGCAAAGACCATTGCAAGAGCACTTATAAATCATTTATCATTTAGTGATACAAATATATAAAAAGTACTATACCGTATATAACTACAATACAACTGTCATTTAATTCTAATCACACTAACTATTATTATTACTGATCACTAACCAATTTATTACTGAAACATTTGACAATGTCGACTCTCGAGAGCACCGATTCAGTACTGATTTATATTATATTTGTGTTAGTTCATAAATGATTACGGAATTAAAATTCTATACTTTTTATCTTGTTTATTATCAGTGATGTATGTTAATTAAGCCAGTCGATGAGGTCGTACTTTGACCGACGTTCGATATGACGAACCATTAATTCTAACAATATAAAAGACATGATGAAATAATACAAATTTATTACCTTTGTTTTATAATATTAATGTAGTATATAGTTTTCTTATATTTTCTGCATTTTTTGCAAAATTGTTTAAGAATGACAAGTAATTTTTGTTTTGCTTATGTCAAAACCACGTGGTAACAACTGTCAAATGTTTTGCTGCAAGGCCACGTTAGTGTGAGAGCTGGTAACCCTAAATAATATACAATTAACTTCACGACGTAGTTTGTGATCGCCGGACGTTTCAAGTCGTTCTGAATATTTTGACAGTGATATATTCTCGATAAATTTGATATATTTTCATATAAAGTCTCAAAAGTCTTCAGCACAGACGCAAACATGAAATTATTTATTATAAATCATAGGCTAACTTCACAATGTAAAAGTTAGCAAATATACGTTTCCAGTCATTCTGAATCTTTTGACACAGATATATCATTAATAAATTTGATATATTCTCAGGAAGTCTTAAGATTCTTTACTATAGCCAAAAAAATAAATTATTTATTATAAATCATAGCCTAATAACAGGACGTATAAGTTAGAAAATAGACGTTTCAAGTCATTCTGAATCTTTTGACAGAGATATATCATTAATAAATTCAATATATTTTTAATAAAGCCTCAGGATTTTTTACGACAGCCGGAAAGAATGATAAATTATTTATTAAAAAATTATTATTAAAAAATTATAAGCTCGTGTGATAAATTGTATTGAAATGTGATAAATTTTCAATAAATTTAATATATTGGCAATAAATTTGCGGAAGTTTTCACCACAGCCGTAAAAACACAGATTATTAACTTCCCGAAGAAGAAGTTTGTTTTCATAAAAAATTAGATTCGCTAATATAAGACCAAATATAAGACCAAATTTGGAAAAAGTATGTGTGTGTGTATGTGAACAGCTGTTTCGCCGTAAGTCGACTTTTTCTCAAAAATGGCTGAACCGATTTTAAAAATTTAAAAGTCATTAGATGTATCTCGATGAGGACTAGCGTTTCTCAGCTTTGTGCGACGATCGGCCGAGACGTTTCTTTGTAAATCGCAGAAAAGTGAAACATTTTTCGTCGACGTTTTAGCCCGCAATTCTGAATCGATTTCGAAAATTAAAAATTCGTTCGAAAGATATTGGTTGGAAGTCGTGCTGATTAGTTTTTGGTAAAGTTCGTCCGGGCCGTTTTCTTGTAATGAAGTGTTAAATTTTTTTTTCCGACGATTGCCTTTATTTTTTTTGGCGGTAGATACCATAGTCCTGTAGATTATACTATTATATTACGACCCTACGACAAGTCGTTTACTTTTGAAAATTCATCAAAGTTTGCGAAAATTAGTATCGTTTTTTGGCATTTGTCAAAGTTAGTCCTATCATCGACTCAGTTTAAGCGTTTTCTTAAAAACACCTAAACCGATTTTAAAAATTTAAAAGCCATTCGATGTATTTCATAAAGCCATCGTCTTCGTTTGTTTTGAATTATGTGTAATAAATCCACTCGGAATACTTTTAATCACTCATAAATTAACTTATTTTTTATTGATTAAGTCGATTATTTACACATATCGAGAAGTTCATGTAACTTGCCTCATGGCAAGATACCAATAAAAACTTGTTACAATAGTAAAGCAATAAATATTACAGATGTTTTGAATCTTTGTCATCAACTTTACCGAAAAAAATATTTAACTTTCACCAGAAATCACTTGGGAAATGTAAGGATAAAACCAGTTAATTAATAAGTTGGTAATTAGTAGCCCGACACAATATTATGTTTTCGTTAAAACTTTGGGTAACGTACACATATATTTACCACATATTTCACGCGTATGTATGTGAATTATTTTTGACTCTCCGATTAATCACAATCGGAATAAAAATAAATGTAGCGTAAATTCCGTTTACTAATTAGCCATTATCAATGCGAAATCCTACTAATATTTTGACTATTAACCCATTCATGTTAAGAAATTCAAGTAAAATGATGCAATGACTTGCATAACGACAACGGCAAAACATCGCCATGAAAAACAATATTTAGGAACGACAACAAATTGTATATATAAACACGATTATATATTAATTAAATGATATATACTTTCTACGTTTCAAATAAATAGGATGTAAAAATTGCAAATCAAAATGATTTGAAAAAATCAAACTTAGATACGAAAATAACTTAGATATGAAAATAATTTTTATTATCTTCCCGTAGGGTAAGTTATAGTAATGGACCAAAAATCGAAAATAAAAACTTTTTCGTATAAACTTCACGTTTTAGAGGTTTCTGAACATTTTAGTACCTCAGAAAAAATAGATGTGTGTGTGTATATGTGTGTGTATGTGTGTATGTGTGCATGTGTGTAGACAATTTTTCGTCGACGATTTCGAGCGTATGGATGAACCGATTTGAAAAATTCAAAAATCAATCGATTTCTATTGATAGGGAGTTGTGCTGATTTGTTTTGACAAAGACAGGTTCAGCCGTTTCGGAGATACGGAACGAAAAGTGATAAAAATGTCAGTTTTAAGAGAATGAATCAATCAAATTGAATGATTGTGTCTTAAGAATCGATATCAGGATTGTGATTCAGAGAATATACTTAAATCATAGTACAAAAAATTATTAGTCTAGAGTTAAAAAGCTTGTGGTTATTTTTATTATAATTTTTGCCATCCCATAGAAAATGCAAAGTTTGCCAAATCATTACGTTTCAAAGTTTTCTGAACATTTTGGGATACCTATACTATATAATTAGAAAAATTGGTCGTTTGTGTATCCGAAACTACTAGACTTGTATATATGTGCATATACTAATTTTTGGCGACAAATTCGAGAGCACCAATTCATCGATTTGAATGATTCAAATAAATTTTTGGGAAGACGTTTTTTATGACAGTATGAAAGGGGGCGTCCATTAATCATGTGAGGTTTTTAGGGGGAGGGGGGTTTGACAAAAAATCACAAAATATCACGAGGGGGAGGGGGGGTACGGTAAGATATCACGTGTATTTATTTTTTAACTATTTTTTTTTTTAAAAAAATTCAAACATTTTCCAAAAAAGAATCAAAAATTTTAGTTTTTTTACGTAACTAAAATTACACGCGATTTTGGTGGGGGAGGGGGGGTAATTTTGAATATCACCACATATCACCAAGGGAGAGGCGGGGTCCAAAAATCGTCAAAAACTAGCTCACGTGATTAACGGACGCCCCCCAAAGAGTTTCACAATTTTCAAGAAATAACTTAAAAAAACTTCAATCAAAAATTTTTAAACAAAAACAAAACCATTTTTTTCATCAATTTTTATAACCCTCTAGTGGAAATTTGATATCGTACCTCTTGGTATCTAGCTGGTCGAGGTTTGGTCAAACTTGGAACTAATTGGAGCAAGTCCACGTGTTTTACTATAAACTATGACGAGGCTCTATTGAGTATTACAATAATGCTTTATTTGCCATAAATTAGCAAAAAGAAAAGTTCGAATTATATTTTAATGCGACGATTTTTTAAGAGTACATACTTAATATATGTTTTGTTTGAACAGCAATCAATCATATCTACATTTCTCAACCTAGTGTTTATTTGAATATAATCCAATTCTCGACCACTTTTCATCTGATGAGATTATTATGAGATATAAAGTAGCAATATATTCGATAACTGGCTATTTTTATTAGTTATCATATTTAAGATCTTCAATCTCAAGTGAAAATCCGATATCACTAGTGTTTGAAATCGAGCTGGCCATGGCCTAGCTCCAAATTAGATAATATGTATATGCATCTTGATAATTTTGATAAACACTGGAAATCGACATTTCAACTCTTATAAAGAAAAAGCCTCAGTAATTTGACAATAAGAATATCAGCAAATATAAAGAATAGTAGAAAAATATAATTCGGATTTTAAAATCATGAACATTTTTATTTTAGAATACTGTTTTCAGTATGTTTATAGTACATTAATGAATAGTATTTAATATTTTTTATAATTAAAAGACTGATGCTTGAACGCATGAGATACTGATAAGACTCTACATTTTTTCGTGATAACGGGTCTAGCAATGTTTTCGAGAAAGAACTTTAGGTAAACTAAATTAATATTGCCACTAAATAATTCGTCCTTATTGCCAAGACGATCTCATAAAATAGTGACAATGATGATAATTACGAAGATGCCTCCATACTTACTACTTATTTAGAATACTTTAAATAAGAAATATAATTTTTGAAACTCATATGATGCATTTTTAATTATATCTTTCATAATTAACCCTTATTTGATTGTATTAACATATTATTAAAATTGCAAACTGGTAAAATTAATCATTTTAATTTAATTCAATAAAAATAATAAATAAATTCGCATCTGGCACATAATTAGCAGCGATGAACCAATGGTCAATGATCAATGTCAAAAAAATAAAAATTAGACTGACTAAAAATCTTTCAAAATTTTGGATTCGTACACTACCACCAGCCAGATGGCACAAACTTTAACAGAAAGAGCATCAAGGATCAAATAGCAAAAAATCAGATTGCCTGTTTTTAAAAGTTCCTGTTTTTGAAACATTGCTGAAAATATGGCCGACAAAAACGTTTAGTGGTTTGGTGTTGATGTTATGCAAGGGTAAAAAGAAAGATAACTTTTGTATTACGGATTATTTGATTCGATTGATTACGGTCGATTCTGCCGTAAAATAAACCAATGTTATGGCAAAGCTATGTTACGTTCCAGTTTTCTTACTAAATGCTATTAAATATTATCAAAATGCCATGTGTTTGCTGTGCTACCAGGCGTTTTGCACCTAAAATGCTACTTCACTCATGTTACCAAGCCATGAAATATGGCTTATATTAATAGATATAGATGCAGTTATGATAGGATAATGTCTGACTGCATAGCAACTGCATAGGATTTTGGCAGTTTTTAGTAGCAATTAATATGAAAATTGCTTCATAACTTAGTCTTACCATAACATTGGTCTATTTTACTGCAGAATCGACCCTCGAGGAAGAAAGGACTGAAAGAATGAGTCTCAAAAATACAATAGATTAAAATACAAATAACCAGGCATGGAAACATGGGAGCTGAAGCTTGAAAAGTGAATTGTGCATTAATAATAAGAGATATAGAAGGAATAAATAAAAGATAGTGTTATAACATCATGGACTCTATTTCTTCGGGTAGAACATTAATATTTTCAGATTTTTTTTATTTGTACCCATTGGGACTTCATTTCTTAGCAAATTAAAGGATCTAATGTATACTATTTGCGCTAACCAAAGTAAGTACATAAAAAACAGTCTTTCTCTCTGTTTGCTGCACGCTGAACTAATTTGCCATCTTGGTTTCTTAGCTAAGCGCAACTCCAAACGATCTAAAAAATGAATTATAATTGTATTCATAGATATACAAGTATAACTGCATAGATAAATACATGTTTACTTATCTATGGATAAATAAGCATAAATGTATAACTGGACCCATAGATAAACTAGCTGTAAGTGGAATTCTGTCTTAAGGCAATTAAGGCATCGTGCCTAAAGGCAAATTGCTGGAACTTCCCGTACCAAAATTTTTTTTTTTTTTAAAAACGATTAACATTTTTGAAAAAAAAAATTACTTTGAAAAAATAAGATTTTTGGGAAACTATAAATTGGACAAAAAATTACTTTTTTTTGAAAAAAATTTTTTTGGAAAAAATTTTTTTTTTATTTTGACATATTGTGGAAGATCTGAACTTTCTTTTCAAAGCAATCGTACTGCTTTAACTGTATAGGGACAAAATATAAAGCGCGTAAGCGCCGCGTCGCTGTCTAACGCATAAGCATTGGTACGGAACCCATAGGAATATTAACAAATTGTATACTTATTGTTAAAATCTCTATAAAATATCTGATAATTTGATGAGCACATGTCTAATGATCATTTTTGACCGCCAAATGGCTCATTTTTTTACTTTTTCCTCCATATCTCCGAAACCGCTAGACCTACCTTCATGAAAATTTTATCGATTCTTCATCTTGTCAATACAAGTGAAATGCTTTTTGAATTATTCAAATCGGACGCTCCGTTCTCTCAAAAACTGAGTTACCGTTTTCGGCACTTTTTGCCCCGTATCTTCGGAACGGCTAGACCTGCCTTCGCCAAAAGCTAATCAGCACGTTTCCTTATCAATACGAATCGAATGTTTTTTGAATTATTCAAATCGGTTGACCCGTGTTCCCGAAATCGTCGACGAAAATTTGTATCCGCACATACATACACACGCGTACATACATACATACATACACACACATATACACACACACACACACACACACATACATCCATTTTTTCTAAGGTATGCCAAAATGTTCAGAAACCTCTGAAACGTAAAGATATATAAAAAATTTCATTTTCGATTTTTTTGCGATTACTATAACTTACCCTACGGGAAGTTAATAAGCATGACAATAAGACTGGACCAATGTTATGGCAAGGATATGTTACAATGCCTGCTTCATATAAAATGGTATTAAAAACTTTTAAAAAAACTATGTGGTTTCTGTGCAATCAGGTGTCGATTTATACAAACTTCGACAAATTTTTAAAATTAACGACTACGACTTACATATAAACAGCAAGATTTTTAGCTATTGCACTGCGCGACAAAAATGGTGCTTTTATTTTTTTCCTCAACCTTTTTTTAACTTTCCGTAGGGTAGTTATAGTCATATAGATAAAAGAAGAGTATATGGTTATAGTAATGGGCCGAAAATCGAAAATGAAAATTTTTGCATTTCTCGACGTTTTGAAGATTTCTGAATATTTTGGCATACCTCGTGTTTTGTATGTCCGCATTCATTCGTCCACGTTTTCGAGCGCACGGATCAACCGATTTGAATGGTAAAAAAACATTCGATTCCTATTGATAGGGAGATGTGCTGATTAGTTTTTGGCAAAGGCAGTTCCAGCCGTTACGGAGATACGGAGCAAAGAGTGCAGAAAATACAAATCGAGTTTTTGAGAGAATGGAGTATCCGATTTGAATGATCTAAAAAACATTCAATTTATAATTATTGGGAGGAGAGGTGATTAGTTTTTGGCAAAAACAGGTCCCGCCGTTTCAAAGATACAGAGCTAAATGTGCAAAAAATTGTAGTTTTTGAGAGAACTAAGTGTCCGATTTGAATTATTCAAAAAACTTTCTGCTTGTATTGACAAAACAATTGCTTTTGAGGATAAAAAATTATTAAATCTTTTTTTATTTTCCATAAAATATTTTTGTAATTTTGGATTAAAAATTAAAAAAATGGAAAGTTTTTGAAAAATTCCAAAAATGGAAAGTATCATTTTCCGTAACAGCAACCAATAGCTCTAGTTCTTGAGTTTTGGGGAATTACCCCAATTAATCATTTCGGCTATAATTATAGCAGTTTAACAAATAATTAACAAATAAATAATCCGACTCTAAGACGTTGTGTGCATAATGCAGACAGTTTTTGTGACATATGAGGTTAAATTTTTGACAAATACCGGAAACTTATGTCGAACTGCGTAATGATCAATTTATACTTGTTTATCTATGGTAATGGCATCGTTTTCATTGACAACATTTCAACCACTTTAAAACTGAATTGTGCAATAATGATAAAACATATGTTCTTGAAACCTCAGAATCACCACGACGATTATTTCTACTATGTGGTAAATGCCAATGAAATAAAATCAGGCAATAGAAGCAAATCGTTATAAACCACAACTCAAATGGTATTGTTACGATCAGCTACACAAACCCCCTATTCATGCTAATAATGAACAACCTAGAACATCAACCATGTAATGCATTTAGAGGCCAACGTCAAAAGCGAAGAAGAAATAACTAAAAACTGATATATTTGATGTAATAGATTTGAATTCATTACCACTCATGCACTCTTATTCAGAATGGTTTGTGGAAAATTTTAGAGATATTAGCGTAGAGCAGGGCGAGTGTATCCATCAAGACATCAGGACTTTGGAGGAGCGATATCAAAGAGGATAGGACATCCACCTGGCCTTGTCCATGCTTGAAAATCATATAAAAAAGCTTTTGATGGCATAAAATGTTTTTTTTTTCTTTTTTTTATTTGAACAGCGATCAGAACTTATGGGTTCTATGAGCTGTTGTGATTAATATCTTACAAACTACGTTTGTTTTATTAAAGATGGCAACCCAAACAGTTGTCACATCTCTGTATGATAAATTTTTATTACAATCTCTGTAATAGGGCAAGTATGGTGCAACAATGTCGGGCAAAGGCTATTTTCACTTGGAAACATATTGCTATCTATATTTCCAAGTGAAAATCTCTGACAACAGGCTGCTCGAAGTGGGTATCGAACCCGGGACCTCTGAAACAAGTCCCGTCGCTCTTAACCGCTTACCTACGGGCGAGTCCAAAATGAAACATTTCGTATTTTTTATTGTAAGTTGAGGTAAGACTTGCATATTGACATATCTCAAAAGCTAGAGCTGTTAGCAAAACCTGTTACTGTTTCCGGAATCAGCGTTCTTGTATTACTTAAAAACCATCATAACATCTTAGGAAAAAAATTTAGTGTTGCGCAGTGTTATTGTTTAATTTTTAACTTTCCGTAGGGTAAGTTATAGTAATCGCAAAAAAATCGAAAATGAAAATTTTTATATATCTTTACGTTTCAGAGGTTTCTGCACATTTTGGGGTACCTAGGAAAAAATGGATATATGTGTGTGTGTGCGGATACAATGTTTAGCCGATGATTTCGAGAACACCGATTAACTGATTTGAATGATTTATAAAACATTCTATTCGTATTGTTAAGAAGACGTGCTGATTAGTTTTTGGCAAAGGCAAGTCTAGTCGTTCCGAAGATACGGTGCAAGAAGTGCCAAAAACGGTAGCTCAGTTTTTAAGAGAACGGAACGTCTGATTTTAATAATTTGAAAAAGATTTTACTTGTATTGACAAGATGAAAAACTGATTAAATTTTTGGAAAAGCAGATACAGCGGTTATGAACTCTCAATAAAAATAAGTTAAAAAAATGTAATTTGGCGGTCAAAAATATTTGCTGGACATATGTACATCAAATTATCATATATTTTATAGAGATTTTAATAATTTGTACACATTTTGTATAATTTTTTTTTGGGTTTCATCCCAAGATTTTTAATTAAGGTATGGGAAATTCCAGCAATTTAGCACCCCACTAATTAATAGTAATAAAACGGTAATGAGAATAATAAACAAAGGAGGGAAAGAAAATCATTGATTTTGTAGTGCTCTCATACCATAGAGCTGCCTTCGGGCAGACCACTGTTTATTTTTATAAATAATTTTCTGGTCCACAGATTGAGAATCGCCGGTAACCCGCGCGTCAAACGTCACCGTTTGGTAATCATTGATAACAATGCAAAATTTTAAGGTTATACACTTATCAGTAGATTTCAGTATGCAGCATTTTAATGTAAATTGTTGTAAAAAAAATATTATGAAAACACATGCACGATAATATATTGCAATGGAATAATTCAATGAGTACCTTTTTATTTCTTTTTCTTTGAAGTGTTATGAAAAAGTGTGCGGTTATGGGCAAATTTTCGTTTAAAGAATTCAACGAAAATGCTACACTTGCTTTTAAAAGAGCTGACTTTAAGCTCAGGTATAATAAAATATTATATTTAAACATAATATTGTATATAGATTATTATAAAAATTGATTTGTCGTGGAGTTTCTTCAGGTAGAACATTTTTGTCATGTTAGGTTAGGTTATAATGTCGTGGAAATAAAATTGTACAAGATAAAAATTGATTTATAGTTTATAAATAGATAACTTGTATTGTTTCTTTAATGCTTGTTGACTTTATAAACATTGTTTTGATAACAATTTACAATGGATAGTGGATTCTTTGGTTGTTGAATTGTTTTTATCGTTCACCATTTGCAATACAAATTTGTCAATAAGGTTAGGAATAATTCTGTATTTCTCCATTGACATTAGAATCAATTATTGATTTCTTCATCAGTTACATCTTGTGAACCGACTTTGTAAACCTAAATGGATAGTAGATCCTTTGGTTGCAATCATTTATCATTTCCGATCCAAATTTGTCAATAAGGTTAGTAATGCTTCAGCTCCACGAAAGGAGGAGTCAACTGTAGAATCTCTTACTGTGTTCTACAATAATTAATGTCTTCATCAGTTACATCTTGTAAACAGACATTGTAAATCTAAATGGATAGTGGATCCAATGGTTGCTATCATTTATCATTTTCAATCCTTTGTCAATAAGGTTAGGTCTGTTTCTGCTCCCCGAAACGAGGTTTCAACATTAGAATTTCTTACTGTCTTGCACAATAATTAATTTTTTCATCAGTTACATCTTGTGAACAAACTTTGTAAACCTAAATGGATAGTGGATCCTTTCGATGCAATCATTTATCATTTTTAATCCAAATTTGTCAATAAGGTTAGTAATGCAAGGAATGAGGAGTTAACATTAGAATCTCTTACTGTCTGTCACAATAATTAATTTCTTCATCGATTACATCTTGTGAATAGACTATGTAAACCTAAATGGATAGTAGATCCTTTGGTTGCAATCATTTATCATTTCAGCTCCAAGGAACTAGGAATCAACATCAGATTTTCTTACTGTCTTGCACAATCATTTATTTCTTCTTCAGTTACATCTTGTGAACAGATTGTATTTGATAGTGGATCCTTTGGTTGCTATCATTTATGATTTTCAATCCTTTGTCAATAAGGTTAGGTATGTTTCTGCTCCAAGGAACTATGAATCAACATTAGATTCTCTTACTGTCTTGCACAATCATTTATTTCTTCATCAGTTACATCTTGTGAACAAATTGTAATGGATAGTGGATCATTTGGTTGCTATCATTTATCATTTTCAATCCTTTGTCAATAAGGTTAGGTTTCTGCCCCAAGGAATAAGAATTCAACATTAGAATCTCTTACTGTCTTGCACAGTAATTTATTTTTTCATCAGTCACATCTTGTGAACAAGATTTGATCTTGTGAAACCTAAATGGATAGTAGATCCATTGGTTGCTATCATTTATGATTTTCAATCCTTTGTCAATAAGGTTAGGTATGTTTCTGCTCCAACGAACAAGGAACCAACATTAGAATCTCTTACTGTCTTGCACAATCATTTATTTTTTTATCAGTCACATCTTGTGAACAAGATTTGATCTTGTGAAACCTAAATGGATAGTAGATCCATTGGTTGCTATCATTTATGATTTTCAATCCTTTGTCAATAAGATTAGGTATGTTTCTGCTCCAACGAACAAGGAACCAACATTAGAATCTCTTACTGTCTTGCACAATCATTTATTTTTTCATCAGTCACATCTTGTGAACAATATTTGATCTTGTGAAACCTAAATGGATAGTAGATCCATTGGTTGCTATCATTTATGATTTTCAATCCTTTGTCAATAAGATTAGGTATGTTTCTGCTCCAACGAACAAGGAACCAACATTAGAATCTCTTACTGTCTTGCACAATCATTTATTTTTTCATCAGTCACATCTTGTGAACAATATTTGATCTTGTGAAACCTAAATGGATAGTAGATCCATTGGTTGCTATCATTTATCATTTTCAATCCTTTGTCAATAAGGTTAGGTCTGTTTCTGCTCCCCGAAACAAGGTTTTAACATTAGAATTTCTTATTGTCCTGCACAATAATTAATTTCTTTATCAGTTACATTTTGTGAACAGGCTTTGTAAACCTAATGTATACTGGATTCTTTGGTTGCTATCATTTATCTTTTTCGATCCAAATTTGGGTTAGTAATGTGTTAGCCCCAGGTAACGAGAAATTCATATTAGAATCTCTTGCGAGCTTTACAGTCTTTTACAATAATCAGTTTCTTCACCAGCTTGTAACCAGAGCTATGTATGGTGGCTATAAAGATTTTGCAATAAATAGTTTAATGAATGGCAATTGGAATCAATTTCTCCAGATCTTTCTGTTGTCTACACCATACATACAATTTTCATTTCACATACATCCTAGCAAATATGTGATACTCATTTAAACTATTTTTTTATACTTTTTTATATATTTTTATATCATTTGTCCTTTTAGACCGAATGCAAGTTTTGGAATATGGGCTTGCATGTTGTTACCGGTAGCAATAATCTTATCCTTTTGGAAACATCAACGAGAGGCTTCATTATTTTATAAATTGAATGTCATTGCTGCTATTGGAATATGTTTTATTAACATTACAATATTGTATAACATTGCAAAGAAATCAAAAATTAATACTCGGTTAACAGCAACAGTAGCAGTTTCTTTGATGACAAGTTGTCTTTTCTGGATTTGTATGAGAAAAGGTATTTATTTTAAATAAATGTTTTATATAAATGTATATATATATATATATATATATATATATAATAATAATTTGAGAGTACATCAATGAATGTTTTGTTTCAGATTGGTTATATAGTTTCTTATATAGTTTTGGAGTAATATCTACTTATTCATTAATTTTACCAATTTGTTTATACTCCTTACCTTTGGCATTCACTTTTGGAGAGGCAGCTATTTGTGCTCAAGGCATTGTTCTATTTATTTTCTCTGCCATCGTAAATATCCTGGACATAGAATTCATCAGTTGTCTTTCGCCTTATACGAAGAGCAGGATATCAGATACTATACTACAGGTGATAATTTATGTTTATGGCAAATGTACCTACTTCATAATTGTTAATTTAATTTTATTTTTAAGTTATATATATATATATATATATATATATATATATATATACATATCATTTCCATATATAATTTGACCATATATACATTTTCATACTATTAATTCTCATGTATATTTCATTTATAAAACATACATATGTTTTTAGGTGGGAATCTTAGGAATATGTTTGATAGCGTCTATAATATGTTTCTTCAAAATATTGCAAAACTATATTGCCTTTTATATAACAACTGTTTCTGTGATTTTACTTGCAATGTTTCCAATGATGCACGTACTATTGAATCAAAGTCCAATAATATGGATACTGGTATTTATGTTCAACGACTCCAGAAGAGTAAGTAAACCGATCACTTATTTTTTTAGTTATAATAATTATGATGTAGATTTTTTAGATATACTTAATAATGTATTGGGGCACCTGCGTTTTAATTGCAATTCTGCTGATGTATTGGCAAATAAGTGGAGGTGCAAAAGCTAGTACAGCTTTACGAAAATATTTTCATATTTTGGCCGTTCTCATATATGTGCCAGGACTGATTTATGAATGCACTTTGTTATACCTTGCATCTGGTGTGGTTTTTGCAATCTTTATAATGATTGAGGTGAGGTGTGCCAGTTACAATTAGTTAATAGTTAAGCAAAGAAAATCTGTTTCAATTTATCATTTTTCATTCTAGATAATTAGAAAGTTTGATATATGGCCATTTGGAAAGCTATTACAAATGGGATTTTCAACATATGCAGATGAGAAGGTTTACATAAATATTTATATTTTGTTATTAATGTGCCAAAATAATTATTGATTTGTTTCGTTCTAATTCAGGATGCTGCTGAAATAGCTCTCACTCCCATTTATTTGATTGTAGGATGCACACTGCCCATGTGGATACATCCGTGTCCTTGTGATTTGACGGATTCTGCCGGATTTAATTTGATGCCATTATTAGCTGGTTTATTATCAATTGGAATTGGTGACACTATGGCCAGTATTATTGGATCGAATTTTGGAAGACACAAATGGAAAGGTATTTTTATTTTAATTTTTAATTAGTGTTGAGCCGACTGGAAAATTTTCTGATTGAAATCATTTGAATCTAAAAAAAACTGATTTGAATCAAGCTAATATATGGACAAATATAAGTTAATACACACAGAGTGAGCATAAGGTACACATGTGATTGAAGCTTTTTTGCTATTGCACAAGATGACAATTAATTCAAAAACTAGTTGAAAGAGGCATTTAGCCATAAAATTTTCAACCGTTTATTTTAAAAATAAAATTATTGCTTTCAATTAAATCTAAACATTGCATATTCGAATAGAATTTATTAAATTAGCTGTAATTATATTGCACAGATACGTGCTTATTATTTTAAATTTTACTGAATTGACAATGTTTGACTCATCACATCAAAAAAGCAACTTTTGGCACAAATTTTGACTATAATACTTTTTCAAACTTTGATGAATTTTTAACATTAAACTGTTTGTCGAAGGGCCGTAACATTTTAATATGTTTTATAATACCATGATATCTATTGCTAGAAAAAGGTTTATAAAAAATAGTCATTTGGCGGTCAAGGATGTTTATGGACATATGTACATCAAATTATCAGATATTTCATAAAGATTTTAATAATGAGTACACATTTTGTGTACATTTTTTTGGGTTTCGTACCAAGATTTTTAATTATGATATGGCAAGTTCCATCAATTTGCCTTAAGGCACGATGCCATCCACAACTAGTTCTTCTTTAGATTGGCATGAAAATGATTTCATTTTGCAGTTTAGTTTCTTTTCAATATTATGTAAAATATTTATTTTAATATTTTCAGGAAGCAAAAAGTCTGTGGAAGGAACCTTGTCAAGCATAATTTTTCAGTTATTGCTTGTGTTGTTATTGGTTTATACTGGTAAAATTTTATATTTATTAATAATAAAAAATATTTCGTATTACATAAATATCTATTCTGCAGGTTTTGTTAAGGGGAGCTGTTATAACATACTGCAATCAATATTTGCTATTGTTACAAATGCTTTAATTGAAGCAAAGACTGACCAAGTGGACAATTTGGTTTTACCAATTATTACATATATTTTATTATTGTGATATTTGAATAAATGTTCAAGTAAGGAAAGTGAATATTTTCTTCCGAAAACAAGGTAGGAGAATTTTAGTAGCACAACAAAACGATAATTTAAGGGGGGTGCTTCAAATAATCGTTTTTTTTTTTGAAGGATTTTTATTGAAGGAAATAAATATTTAATTGAAACAAAACTTTCAGGTTTTATTGTTAGATATTTCATCGTTCTTCTCAATTTTTTTCATTAAAATATATGTCATAATATGCCGGGTAAATGCATTTTGCCGAAGCGCCACGAGCGTGCAGGTGTCCTTTGGCGGGAAAGATGCAGGCCACAATTTCTACTTGAAACAAATAAATAAAAACAAATATATATTTTAAATAGTATAGATTCTAATTGAACCTAAAAA